AAATCGAGAATTCACACTTCCTGAACTACTACCGAGTCTAGAATTAGAAGCCATTGCAGGTTTAATTTTAAATAATATCCTGCAATTTTAACAAGAAGAGAGCTAATAAAAATTTAAAATAAATCAATGTTTAACTCAACAAAATAATCCATCTAAATAAAAAAAATCAAATCAGTAATTCAAGGCTCTGGACAGCTCTCTCGGTTCAGCAGTAATTCAATCAACTCTCTCATTCAAATAAGTAATTCAATCAGTAATGCAATGCAATAATAATAATAATAATAAAATATCCATCAGCACTCAGTAGCACAAGAGGAACTGAAAATGAAGTTGAAAAACGATCGTCGACCGACCACATGAACTGAATAAATTACCAATGAAGCTGAAGAACGACGGTGAGGCAGAGCAGACGGTCGAAGATGTTGAGCCAGAGTAGACGGTCGAATACGAAGACTGAGGCAGAGCAGACAGTGAGCGGGTAAGGCAGCGACGCAAAGTGAACCGTGAAGCTACAGCGAAAAACAGCGATCTGAGTAAAACAGCGATCGATTGGAGCTGAAAAGATAGGGCAACGGATTGCTGGAGCTGGGACTGAGTAAAAGGAGTGAAAAATGCAGAGTTTCGCGTCTGCCCGCGTCCGACCTTTGTCCGACCAGTGTCAACCCGTCTCGGCCCGCGTCCGCCAGAAACTGGGAAAAGGGACGCGCCGTTCCCGCATACTGAACGCGTGTCCATGTCGGATATGTATCCGACACAGATATGTCGGCCATTTTGCCGTGTCCGTGCTTCTGAGATGGACACCATCAGTATCAATAATCAATAATTATAATCCACAATCAACAAATTATTTTAAACGACTGGATAGAGCTACGCTATGTACAAATAATGAACAAATATTTGATGCAATCTACTCGTGCCCGCACGTGTATATGTGTGTGTGTGGCAGTGCTAAAGGAAAGAAAGAAGTAAACTATAGAATTATCATTGCTTATATTTAACAACGGAATGAGTATTATTGGAGGGTCACAACAATGTTCATTCGGATCCAACCATTTGTGTGCGTGTGTTTGCCAGCTATTACAGCCACGTTCACTCAGGTTCTATTCGTGGGTGGTGAAAAATGCGACTGCTTACCCTGACTTTTCGTGTAACACAAGAAATTCACATTTAATTATAAAATATTTTAAAAATAATAATTCAAGCTAGGATGCTCCTACGAGACAAATTTAAACGCATAAAAGCAATGAATTCGGGGAAGGGTGACCAAGCATCGCCGACTCCGATGCATTCCTTGGGCGGCGCAAATCACAATCGAATCTGTTTTTTAGTGTAATTTTCCTGTTTCCCCGGAATTTGAAGAGACTCGGTGCGATTACTATCTACTCCCTCCAAATCTCTAATGCAGGCACGCTAACTGCAAGAGGACTCAAATCATATTGTGTGAATAGTTGATTTCAAAATTGACGTCAGATTTTATGATATTCATTGCCTCCGTCTCAGTGTATATAAAGTGCTTTTGACCAAATTAAATTTTTGTCATATAATTGAAAGCGCAATTTTCTAGTTTCCTTTCTCAGCACAATACAGTGAATATTATGAAGCATGCAATTAATATATCTTCATCTTTTTAAGAGAATAAAAATAAAATTATTTAATTATTTAAAATTATCATAACATTTCTTATATTTAAAAAAATAATTAAAGTATAATTTAATCCATTGAGAAGTATAGTTTAGTCATGAATATCTTATATTTTTTCAGAGATAGAGTATACATACACTATTTTACCAATCCAGGAAAGAGGAATCATGAAATTACGAACTGTGCGTTTGGTTTTTAGTTTGTCAAAAATTTATTTAATAAAAATTTATTTGATAAAAATTAGTTTAATAAAAGTCAGTTATTTTAATAAAATTTATATTTGAATATATTTTTTTAAAGTCAATTTGATACACTGAAAGTTATTTAGTTTGTGACAGTGAAATGTACTCTTAAATGTACAATTACCAAAAAAGACATTAATTTATGATGATTTATAATTTTTATTATATAAATATAATATATTTAAAATATTTAAAAAATGTGATAAAAATTTTAAATAATATAAATTTTGATCTATAATTCTAAAAATTTGATCTCTAATTATTTATATTTTTTAATTTATAATTTTTAAAAAATATGATAAAAATTTATAAATTTTATTATACATTAATGTTAAAAATTAATATAGTTAATTATTCAATTTATAATACTAAAAATTAATACCTAATTATTATTATTGAAATAATAATTATATTTTTAATGAATTAATTATTTATTAAATAAAAAAATAAGAGATTAAATTTAAGGTAATATAATTAAATAATATTTTATTTTTTAAATTCAATTTTTAAAAGCTTTAAATAATTATGTTTTAAAAATTTATTTTTAATTATTATTAAATATTTTATTTAAATAATTAAACGAACCTGAAGGAAGTGAAAATAGCCAAAAACGGGGTTGGGAACATAGAAATAGGAAGTGAGGGGCTACGGCGGAAGTGAGTGAAAAGAAAGAGAAAGAGAAAGAGCAGAAAGCCAAAAGGTCGAAAGCACTCTTGCTTTTTAATTATTATTTTTTCATCTGTCCCGTGGGCCCTATCCCACATCTTTCTTCTTTATAGAACGAACTTTTCCTCTCTTCTCCCTTATTTTTTTTATTTTTTTTATTCTCAGGGGTGATGGCCAGTGCGAATGATTAAGGGGCAGGGGGCAAGTCAAGGGGCGACCACTCGGGAATATCGATCCCCATACTTGTCCATCTTGTTTTCCTCATATCTCCTCCCATATTTCTTTTCTGGGCCCACATGTCCTCTCTCTCGTTTGCTGCTACTTACCACACCGCGACAAAAATTGTAAGACCCAACAAAAACTTGACGATGGGGTTTGTTTCGTTTAGCTGTTTTAGCCTGAGCACATCTTTGGTCCTGCAGTCAAGTATCTCTTTCAAGTTTCAATCTCGTTATCATCTTGCATGCGGCAAGAGTCGCTGTATTCTATCACATTTATTTATGTGTCCTGTATGACTCTATGGGTGAATTTTTAAGCCGTGATTCCTTGTTTTTTTCCTGGACTGTGTTTGTAGCTTTTTTAGAAATGGTGAGTAACTGCATCTGCATGGGAGGAAAAATGGACTGAGAGTGACAGAAAGATATATTTTAACTCAAAATGTTAAAGTTTAAATTATTAATGTATTATTCTCCTTTATTATATATTATCAATTATTAAATTTAACTTTATGCAATATAAGACTTTTTATGTTATATTAAATCCACTAATAACAATGTAATCCTTTATCAAACATGCCTTAAGCACCAAATCACCGCTCTTATAATTAGAGACATCGCAATTTTTAAACTTCAAACAATGAAGTATACATAAGTTTCTATTGCAATAAATGATCAATCTCATTTCAGGCTCTACGCGTGTGGAAAGCCGCATTGATTTTTTTTTTTTTTAAGAATATGTCTCAGCTAATTTCTTGATTCTTTCATTGTATTTGGGTGTTCTCTCTGAAATTCGTATACTATACATTATACAAGACGTGGGGAGAGAAAATCTAGCTGGTACTATGCAACACGTGATCAATACAATAGTGGGCAGAGTAGAATGGCGGGTACATCGGGGACAGCAATCCCTCCTTTGATTCCGTCTCTTTCATTATTTAATAATACCAACAGTCACAGATTGTAGTTTGTCTTGTTCATGTTTTTCTCATATGCTGTGTCCAAAGTAACAACTGAAGAACAAGGACCATTTCTTGTTAAGAAGAGGAACAAGGACCCTGATTGGTTCCTGCAATATATTGTCTCGGCTTGGGCCTTTTTTCATAGTTACCGTCCTTGCATTTTCCCCCACCACATTTTCACAAATAAGTAGTAAGTAGAAAGAAATTCTGAAATCGAAATCTAGACGTAAATTTTTTTAACGTTGCTAGCTTTAAAATTGTCAAATATATGGTGTGTGTGAGTTTCTCTATGCGCACATGTTCATGAACAAGTTATGTGAGCTGGGCCTTGATATTACCCACACAGCGTTCGGATAATACTTGTGTCCATTTTCCAGAAGGAACATGTTTGTAGTGTTGGACTTCGCTTCAAGCCCACCTGGCAGGCCCTTCTTCTGAATTTGTTTTAGGTCCCACCTGCTTGGGCCTAGTGGATCTACAATTGGCCATTATTTGTGAAAGCTATTAATAATCTTTTTATTTTTAGATTTCTTCTTCTGAATACAAGGGCAGGTGAAAATTGAAAACTACATGGGAAAATCATGATACATCAAAGCTCTACACTTGGGCGGTTCCGACATGATGTCCATCTGAGTTTCCATATCTCACGCGCTAACCACTCAGGAAAATTATATCAATTAAAGAACTGATCATTTTAGTAAAAGTTACTGATTTTTAACGACTAGAACTCGAAGTTACTATATAATCCTGGTCAAACAAAAGAAGTTACTGCATAATAACAAGTGGCGGAGTTAGAATTTGGAGTCAAGGGTACAACTTAATTTACTTTAAAAATTAATAACTTTTTTAAAAATAACATAATTACATTAGGAATAAAATTGTAATAATATAAATAAATTAATTATTATTTTTTAAAAAAATATATTAAATAAATTGATATGATCTTTTATGTAAAATATATTCTTGATATTTAATATTTATTATTAATATTACACATTAGTTTTTAAGACCAAATTTTTTTTTTTGGGTGAAAGTAAGACCACATTTTTTTATTTAACTTAGAGGGTGCAAAATCTTAAGAGTAAAAAGTGTAAAGTTGTAAAATTTATATACATAATTTGTAATTTTTCTTAAAGTGAGGAGGTGCATTTGCCCACCCTCATCATAAAATAGCTCTGTCATTCATAATAATCTTTTTCACTGTGATTCTTTTTAGCGATTATAAGATTCGTGCTTTATGAATCTAAGTTGTTTATGACAGCAATCATTATAGCTGAAAAAAAATAGAGCTGACCTCAGATTTCATGTTTAGATTCTGGATACTAAACCGGATGAGGTTTAGAAATCACAAATCATGATGGCCATTATTCAAAGCCTCAAATGATGTTCAACTGATGAACAAAAATCCCAATAATATTGACTATTCCAAAACTTCACTGATCCTCTATGAGACTATGAATCCCCTGGACGGGGACAAGGCGTTTCAATTTCTATCACTAATCTGAAAATAAATAATGAAAGCAAGAAATTAAGCTCAGGTGTAGACTCTCTCATCACGATGTGAGTTCAAGTACGAGCTCGTTCATCAAACTCTTCAAAACTTCGAATTCCAACTCCATCCCCACTCCTTCATCTGAAATATTTGTCCATCTTTCACATCTATCCATCTCCCTCACACAAACTTCCCAACCCATATTACTCACTCCTTGCCGTTCCCCACTTATCCATTCCTTCGCTGCCTTTGATATTTCCCCTTCCTTCATCTCTTCATCCTCATTGTTTTCCATGTTATTGAACAAATCCAACAAGAGCTTCTTCTCTGCTCTATTGATCATACACGTAGTCCTTGAAGTTTCAAGCTCGTTAACCAGCAACCACGCTTTTTCCTCACCCTTGCTCTTCTCATTTCGCTGCACAGCTGTTAGTTCATCCTCAAGTACTTCTAACGATAATATTGCCATTCGTTTCTCTAGGTCGATCGGCTTCAGTGATGAAGCCACGTCATCAAAACGTCGACTCTTCTGCGTATGCTTGTTTTTGTTTCCTGCAACAATTCCACCTTCCGAGCGACAGCAGCTCGTAGAATCCAAAGGAGAGTTGACCTCTTCATCATCTCCAAACGGACAATTCAGCACCGATACAGGACTCAGTTGTTCCTTCTCCTCCCTCGCCCAATCCTGTTCCAATATTACACATTCACCAAACTCAGTTTACGTACCCTATGCAGAATATATATATATATATATATATAGAGCGAGAGAGAGAGAGAGAGAGAGATTGCAAACACAGTATTGAAGATCATAAAATTTGATGCATCACTATCTATCCATTCTTAATGAAAACGATATGTTTCTACCTAGCTAGAACAAATTATATTTTTGTTCCCGGCCACCACTATGATATAACCACACCTATAGCTTGAATATACCGGTTAGCATCTTTGCGATCGCCCTAGAATAGATAGTGTCAAGTAGTTACGTTACGTTCTTTCTTAAAGAAATAATGGATCGTGATTTTTTAAAAAATAAGGCCAGAGATGACTCAGGTGGAGAAGAAACTTAATAATATTTTCCGAATAATTAAAGTTTATAAACTCAGCAGGAAAACCAAGCTCGTGGACATTAATGGACAATGCCCTCGCCGACAAAATATACAAGAAGTTATTCAATTAAGAGACGTACGGTAGGCCATTGTACTGGTACATGTATAGTAAAACAATTGTTAACTTTAATAACATATTTGTCTTAGTAAAAAAAAATCGAAATAAAATGAAATTTACAGGTAAAAGACAAATATACGGCGGAGTTATTAGAGCGCCGAAGAGGGCGTAAGGACTCATTGGTAATTAACTAAGTTCTATGGTCCCCGAGAAGTACCGTATCAAATTCCCCCACACGTGGAATTCATGCAATCTCGGGCCCAGCTGTTCCTCCTCCATCAATATTGCCAGAGGATCAGATCGCCGGACCATCCTCCACGAGCGAATCATAAATTTTCAAAATATAATAACCAAACCGATATTCAAAATCAACTTACCATTAATTTCTCCAAGGTGCAGCCGTCAGTGGAATCTTCACCCGTCTTGGTCGCTGTTTTGTGCATCGTCGTATTCTCGCTGCTCACAACTCCGACGACGTCCGAATTATCGCTCGACGACCGTAATATCTCCCAAGTGAATTCGCTCGACCTCCAACTGTTTCCGTTACTGTTCCCGCTGCTACTTCCGCTAGTGCTACTGCTAATTCCCGAAGTCACGCTCATCGTGCTCGAGCTTTGTGTGTGCTGATCCGACGGCTCCTCCTTCTCTTCTAGCAACTCTCTAAATGATCTCCACCGTCGAGGCTCGCTCACCTCATCCTCGATCGCTTTTCTCCAGAAGCTCCGGCTCAACATCTTCCGAGACAAGCTTTTGCACAGGAGACCATTCTTGGAGTTACTCTTTTTGTAGGACGACGACGACGATGCCATCGCGGATATGGAGGGGAATGGCAGTAATTTAGCGGCGTTGATGACGGCCCGAGAAGCCCTATGCAGGGCTGATATGGTGGGGGAAGCGACCTTGAAAGAGCAAGAACTTCGGTGGCTGATAGTCGGTCGAAGGAGTAGATTCCGTGCGGCGTGGAGATCTTTCTCGAGGATATCAAATCGGACGGTGGCGCAGCACTGTCGGCGAGGAAGAGATTTGAAGCCGCTGGAAGAGCAGGAACTGAGATCGTCCCTGAGATAATCCTTAAGCAGCATATTGGATGGCCTTCGGAGCTGTTTGGCGGTCAGCATTTGATCCCTTAAGGGTTTACCACAAGAAGCCATTTTCTCGGAAGAAAACAACATATCAGACAAGTTAATGGAGAGGGAAGATGATAGATGTAGATAGCGGAGAAAGAGAGGTAAAGCAAAAGGGTTAACTAGGAATAAGGACGAAAGAAGGGGTTCATAAATGGGGATTCTGAGAATTCAGAGCTTTTTCCCCTGAAAGAAGCGAGCCAGGCTGGGAGCTTCAGTACGAGCAGAGAGGGGTAAAGCCAGCGACAGATGCAGAGAGAGAGAGGGAGAGTAGTGATGAGGGAGACAAATTTATAGTGGAGGGAAAGTGAAAGATAAAAGAAGGTTCGGTGGCGAAGATCTCAATGAATATGATTGCAAGAGAGTTAAGACAGCGAGGCTTCAAGTGTGATATGGTGAGTAGAAGCAGGGACGATGCTTCGCTTTAGGAGGCGGGCAGGTAAAAATTTGAATCTGAAAATGATGAAAATATTTTAATAAATTAATCTTAGTTGGAATAGAAGTGTATAAATTAAATTAATTGGATTCTGTTGAATTGAGGGATGCTCGGGGACGATCTTCAAATTGATGGGGAGGATTTTGGACTGTTGTAGACCAGTAGTTGACCTTTTGATTCTAACCGTAATGGAAAATTGGAAATTGACTATGAACCATATGTGTGTGTGTGGGCGCGTGATCGCGCACTTCCTCTATTCACGTGCTGGGTCACGTGTGCCTTTGTTGACCTCCAACTTCCCTCTCATTAATTGCTCCTGCCCTCTTTGCACGGTCAAATTAATCTTGTTTCATCTCATCCCGGCTTTTTTCACTCTTTCCTCATATTTTTTGGAGTAAGTTGCGCAGCTTTGATTAGTGAGCAAAAGTTAATTGTTAGTTCAGCAAGATTTGAAATGTTTGCAGTAAAAAATCAGAAGAGAGAAAGACTTCATAGATTCCAAATTTAACAGCGAACACCTGCAGGTCATGAACAAATCAAATTTTTACGGAGCGCGATAGTTTCGACTATGTCTGAAAAAATTCTCCGAAAGTGAACTCTGCAATTTTAGAAACAAATGTCCTCGTGCATTATTTTGATTCAAATGGGACACGTGTGACTAATAACTGCCACATCGGATTTTCAAACGCACGAAGTTGGACTACACACGTACAAATATAAAATTTCCGAAAAGCCTTTTTCATTTTCAAATTAGCCAACACATCTTTCTCCAGCTATTTACATGAAAAAAAAATTGAATAGAATCAACTTAAACCCTGCACAATGGATCTTAGTTCATTAATTGGATCTTGCGGTAATAAATTTTTTTATTTGGCATCAGTTTGTAGCTTTTTTAAAAAGTTTTTAAACATCTGTGATGTAGGGCGGCATTATATATATATATATATATATATATATTCTGTAACATCCCAATTTAAATTTTAATAGTTAATTTGGGTTAATAAAAATTTTGAAAAGTATTATTAAATTATTATTATAAAAAAAGGTATGAAAAAAAAATAAAAAAAATAATAAAAAATAATAATAATAATAAATAAAAAAATAAAATATTATTAAATTATTATTATTATAATAATAAAAAGAAAGAAAGGAAAAGAAAGGAAGAAGAAGAAGAAAGCGAATTTGCTTCGTCCGCCGCCTCAACAGTAACAATAATAAAATAATAATAAAAAGAAAAGAAGAAGAAGAGAGAGAAAATAATTAAAAAAAATGTGGGACCCACTGAATTTTTATAAAAACTCACCTGTTCCTTCATTTCTTCATTCCTTCTTTCGTGCGTGAGCTTCGGCAGAGAGAGCATCTGTGAGCCAAATTCACCGGTGCTGGGTTTTAAGGTAAGAGTTTTTAATAGGATATTTAGGGTGTGATTTTAAGCTTTTCAAGACTAGGTAAGTGTTCTAAAAATTTTTCTTAGTCATCCTTCTTCTTTAGTTTCTGAGTTTGTAGTGGTAGAAAATTTAAGATCTGAAAGAGGGATGAATTTATGTTGAATAAATATGGTTTTTGAGGTTGTCAGTAGTATAATAAATGTTATAGAGTATAAATTTGTTAATGATCTTTGAATTTATGGCTTATGGATCAAATTCTAAACTAGATCTGAAAATATATGTTGATTTATTGAGGTTTAGATGATTATTTGGGATGAGAAATGAATTATTATGGTTATAGGATTATGATTCTAAGCTAGAGACTCAATTTTTAATTTTTGGGTATTTTAGGTACGAATTTATAAAATAAAAAAAAAATTTTGATAATAGAAATTAGTTTAAAATTTGATTTTTAGATTATTAATGTTTATTGATAATTAAAAGAGGAGTTAAAAATTTTACTTAATAGTATTAACTATAGATTTGTATTAAGATTGAGATTAGGAATTGTGTTATATTTTTAATTCTATTATTAGAATTATTTTATTAGTTTTAAAAATTGAAACTAATATTTATAAATAATATGTTATTTGTAGATTGTATTACTGGTGAAGATTGTGGAGAGAGAGAAATTTTAAGGAATAATTTATTGAAAAAGCCACAATGTAACCATGCTTTTAATTTATGATTTGTGTTACTTCATGTTAATTGGGTGATTATTGAGAAAATTATAAATTTTGTAATATTATATAATTGTGCAATATTATTATAAATTTATTTGATTATTGTGGGAGGTGTTGGGAGACTTGCTATTGTTGTTGTATTTATGTGCCACGTGGTACGCCCCTATTGGAGCTCAATAGGTGGTTTGTAAGGGCTCGGGCTAATCTACCTTTGGCCGGGTAATTTAGTACCGAGTGAGGGCTACGGCTCGAGGTTAATGGAGGGATATAAGGATGGTTGTTTGTGTTTATTATAATATTTCTTATATTTGTTGGAATTATATTATTTTTAATTCTCACTTAGTAAGCACACACTTAACTGTTTGTATACACTATCATAAATTGGCTTTGGTTACTGGGACTTTTGAGTCTCATTATGTGGTTAACAATTTTCAGGAGAAGAGCCAAGAGTGACACGTGGAGGAGTCCCAGAGGCTTAGTGGTATAGATCCACTGTCTCTTTTGGGTATTTAATTTATGATTTATAATGTATTATATTGCCAATATTAGGGCTTTTTGTTTATTGTCAATTATATGAATATATAAATGTAATCATGCCTTTCAAACTATTTCTATTTTTGGTACAATTTGGATGACTGTAATTTTAATATTTGGTTTACTTTGGATTGGTTAAAATGGCATGATTATAAGGTCAAATAACTGGCTTGTGTTGAAAATTGATTAAATTGCTTATTTTACTTGTTGGGAGTATAAGGATGGACAAATGTGATTTAGCCTAATGGCATGTGGGAGGTAAAAATTTATCTGAAATGTTATAGTGTGTGAGTTGAAGCCGATTATAAAATATTTTATATTGAAATTTATTGATATAAAAATGTGTTGGGTGGCTGTAACCCAACTATGGTTGAGTTAAATTATTTTAAAAAAAAATTTTGGTGTGTTACAAATTTTGGTATCAGAGCTTCATGGTTCCAATTCTTATAAATTATGAAATTGTTATACATTAACCTAGTTTATTGGCAATATACATTATTAAATCATAATGCTTCTCCATTATTTTTCTTGTCTTGAGATTAGTGTTAATTTAATTATGTGACTTCCATCCTTTAGGAGGGGAGAGATGGTGTCCAAAACTAGGAGAGGTGGCGAAATTGTCGGTGATTCTATAGAGCCAATAGGAAATGACATACCTTCACTGCCACAACCGGAGCCCACACAGCAACAAATTGGGCAGGGCGAGCCCATACAGTCACAACTAAGGCAGGATGAGCCAACCATGAGGCAAATGATGGATCTACTATATAATCTTAGTGACCGCATGAAGAGACAAGAAGAAGAATTGGCCGCTTTAAGACAATATAAGGAGAATGACAACCGAGAGGGAAATGGCCAACAAGAAGGAAGCCATACCAAGGTATTCAATGCGAGCCAATCTGCTGATGAAGGCTTACCTTCCTATTCTCACCATGAGACTAGTCCGAAGAATGTGAGTCTCCACTCTGACCAACAGACATCCACGATTACAAAGATCTGGAGTACTTTTCGTAAGTTTAATCCTCCTACTTTCGATGGAAATCTTAAGCCAGCAGTGGTTGAAGAATGGATAGATCAATTGGAGAGTATTTTTCGTATGGTTGTGTGCACTTCTAATCAAAAGGTGCAGCTGGCAATATTCCTACTACAGAAGAGTGCTAAGAAATGGTGGGAAACATCAGGACCGAAGGATGATTCCTCTCTTACTTGGGAAGATTTTAAAGCCATATTGTTCGAGAATTATTTTCCTACTGCACTGAGAGCAGAAAAGGAGGCTGAGTTTCATGCATTCCGCCAGGGTGATTTAGATGAGGATGAATTTATTGAACAATTCTCAGAATTATCTAAATACTCTACTTACCTCCAGAAACATGAAGACACGGAGTGGATGGCTGAACGATTACTAGAGAAGGCGAGGCCTGATCTAAGGGAACAGTTAGCCCCTTTTGAGATCAAGACATTCAGTGAGATGTGCAATAAGCTTCGAATAGTTTCTCGGAGGAAGAGAGAGGCTAGATTAGAAGCTGATAGAGAGAGGAGGAAAGAACCTCATGGGAAGCCCCCTATCCACACCCGACCCATTGGTGGAGTAGAGAAGAGGAGCAGTCAAATCTTTGGAGGTTTTAGAAATCAGAAGAAGAAGGGCTACTATCATAAGGGCCAGAGCTACAGAGGGAATCAGAGTGGAAGTCAAGGGTCCTATAGGAGCCCAGCTACCTTTAATCCTACTCCTAGTGCTGCTAGTAATCAAGCATGCAGTAAGTGTGGGAAGTTTCATTCTGGTGATTGTTGGGTTTGTTACATCTGTCAGAAGCCTGGTCATATTGCTAGATTCTGCTATCAAAATCAAAATAGGGGTAATGATCAGAGACCTACAGTACCAGCACGAGTGTATGCCCTCTCTGGGCCAGAGGCTGCTAATAACCCTAATGCTATCAGAGGTATAATCCGAATCCTTGATAATGATGTTTGTGCTTTGTTTGATTCGGGTGCTACACACTCTTTTGTGTCTGATGAATGTGTGAAAAGATGTAAATTGCCTGTGTGTACCTTACCTTTTGATGTGAAGATTTCTACTCCTGCTGGTTTGACTGTAAGGACTGCTAAGGCATGTCTAAATGTAGAGGTTGAGTATGAGGGTCGAAAGACCACCATAGACCTCATTTGTTTGTCTTTGTCTGGGATTGATGTTATTGTGGGGATGGATTGGTTGTCTGCAAATGGAGCTGTACTTAATTGTCAGAAAAAGAGTGTGTCACTCTCAGTTCTTACTGTAACCCCTGTAGAGTCCCAAAGTCCTATGTTGTTGTCTGCAGCTCAAGTAGAACAGTGTATAAGAAAGGGCTGTCAAGCTTTTATGATTTTCTTCTCAATCAAGGCAGAGATTGAAGAAGGTGTAGATCAGATTCCAGTAGTGAGAGAATTCCCTGACGTCTTTCCTACTGAAGTGATCGGTTTGCCTCCAGAACGAGAGGTTGAGTTCTCGATTGAACTCGTACCTGGTACGGGGCCTATTTCTAAGGCACCCTATAGGATGTCTCCATCGGAGTTAGCTGAGTTGAAGAGACAAATTGAAGAGTTGTTAGAGAAGGGGTTTATCAGACCGAGTGTATCACCATGGGGGTCACCGGTACTGTTTGTGAAAAAGAAAGATGGAAGCCTTAGATTGTGTATTGATTATAGACAATTGAATAAGGTAACCATCAAGAATAAGTACCCCTTACCTCGAATTGATGATTTGTTAGACCAATTAGTCAATTCAGCGGTGTTTTCTAAGATTGATCTAAGATCAGGGTATCATCAATTGAGGGTTAGAGCAGAGGATATCCCTAAAACTGCTTTTAGAACTAGATATGGGCACTATGAGTTCCTAGTGATGCCGTTTGGGTTAACAAATGCCCCAGCTGTCTTCATGGATTATATGAATCGAATCTTCAGGCCTTATCTCGATGAATTTGTTGTAGTCTTTATTGATGACATACTTATTTATTCTCGAGATGAGGTGGACCATGCTAGACATCTTAAAATTGTTTTGGAGATATTAAGAGAGCACAAGCTCTATGCCAAGTTGAGCAAATGTGATTTTTGGCTTAAAGAAGTTAAATTCTTAGGCCATGTTGTTTCAGAAGAAGGGGTAGCAGTGGACCCTAGTAAGATAGATGCAGTGATGAAATGGGAGCAACCTCGAAGTGTGACAGAGATTAGGAGTTTCTTGGGTCTTGCAGGCTACTATCGTCGTTTCATTAAGGGTTTTTCACAAATTGCAATGCCCTTGACTAAGTTGACCAGGAAAGATGCTCCATTTATTTGGACGAACGAGTGTGAAGTTGCCTTCCAGGAACTGAAAAAGAGGTTGACCACCACACCGGTGCTCACCTTACCTGTTCCAACTGCTCCTTATACCTTATATACTGATGCTTCTAAGAAAGGTTTAGGTTGTGTATTGATGCAGGAGGATCGAGTAGTGGCTTATGCCTCTCGACAGTTGAGACCTCATGAGGAAAATTACCCTACTCATGACTTGGAGCTTGCTGCTGTGGTATTTGCCTTGAAGATTTGGAGGCACTATCTTTATGGTTCTTCTTTTGAAGTCTTCAGTGATCATAAAAGTTTAAAATATTTGTTTGATCAAAAGGAGCTCAACATGAGACAGCGCAGATGGATTGAGTTTTTGAAGGATTATGACTTTGAGTTGAAGTATCATCCAGGGAAAGCTAACGTAGTCGCCGACGCTCTGAGCAGGAAACTTGTACATACTGCTCACATGATGGTCAGAGAACATGAATTATGGAGTAGTTTTCATGCAGTAAATGTAGAAGTAGTCGAAAATCGTTTGGCTGCTCTACATATTACTGAATTTGAGAATAATTTTTGGGAAGAAATCAGAATTTCGCAGCAGAAGGACGATTATTTGAATAAGATTAGGGTAGAGATTGGGGCTGGAAAGGCTGAACATTTTGATGTGACCGATGATGATGTCGTAAGATATAAAGGTAGAGTATGTGTGCCTAATGATACTCGATTGAAAAATATCTTACTTGAGGAGGCTCATCAAAGTAAATATACCATTCACCCAGGAGCAACTAAGATGTATCATGACTTAAGACGTGGTTGGTGGTGGCCAAGGATGAAGAGAGATGTAACTGAACATGTAACTCATTGTTTGACTTGCCAGAAAGTCAAAATTGAGCATCAGAAACCAGCCGGGATGCTACAGTCTCTTGATATTCCAGAGTGGAAATGGGACAGCATTTCTATGGACTTCATTACAGGATTGCCTAGAACATCTTCTGGTCATGACACTATATGGGTAATCGTAGATCGACTCACCAAATCAGCTCATTTTCTTGCTACTAATATCAAGTATTCTCTCGAAAAATTAACTGAAATCTACATAAGAGAAGTGGTGAGATTGCATGGAGTGCCGACAAATATTGTATCTGATCGTGATCCGAGATTCACATCAAACTTTTGGAAGTCATTACAGGAAGCCATGGGTACTCGTCTGAGTTTTAGCACCGCTTACCACCCCCAGACCGATGGGCAAACGGAACGAACCATACAAACTCTTGAAGACATGTTAAGAGCGTGTGCCATTGAGCTTAGAGGTAATTGGGATAGTCACTTACCATTAGCTGAATTTGCCTACAATAATAGTTTTCATTCTAGCATTCAGATGGCACCTTATGAGGCATTGTATGGAAGAAAATGTAGATCGCCACTGTGTTGGACAGAATTAAGTGAGAGAACTGTTTTGGGGCCAGACATTGTTGATGAGACTACCCAAAAGATTGCTTTAATTAAGCAAAAATTACTCACAGCTCAAAGTAGACAAAAGAGTTATGCGGATAAAAGGAGAAGACCGCTTGAGTTTGAAGTAGGTGACCATGTATTTTTGAAAATCTCTCCAGTAACTGGTGTTGGAAGAGCTATTAAGGCTAAGAAGTTGACACCAAGGTTTATGGGGCCTTTTGAGATCTTAAAACGAGTTGGACCAGTAGCGTACCAAGTAGCATTACCACCCAAATTGCTGGAATACACAACGTATTCCATGTGTCACAACTGAAAAAGTATC